GACAGCAAACTGACAAGAATTATCACTGTTTTAAGTAATTAATTGGTATAAATACAACATAGTGCTTATCCAAGACAAGGTGCCATGTTGGGGCAGCAACACTGCACTGCAAAGCCCCAGGCAAAAACGGCAGTTGGTGAGGTGTGCCTGTCTAGCTCTACAGCGGTCCCAGCTTTCCTTGGCCCAAGCTGCTTGCTCTTAGGCTTCCTTGTGCTAGAGGATTACCTCTACAGGGCTCTGTGAGTTAGAGGGGCCGAGGGAGTAATATCGGGTTTGGATTCTGTCAAATTCAGGTTTTCCCAAACCTAGTACTTCTCAACAGTTCCTATTTGACCGTTTATTCTCAGCTACTGGTATGTGACTGACCATCAAAACCCTTGCTCTTCATGGGGATGTGTCACTTTGCCCCAGAAGTCAGGGAAGGAAGCTGTTTCCCACACACAGTAGGATACTGCCCTGCTTCTTCAGGGGCTTCCAGAATGACAGGATTTGAAGAAACAGACTTTCCCATCTTGATGGCCAAAACTTTAGAAGCTATTCAAACTTCTCTCCCTCCTGTATCTATCTTAAATCCACTTTGTGCCCTTGCATGTAAGACAAACCAAAAAGATCTAGAAGGAAACCTTTCCTCCCTCTAAATGACTAGCCGACTGAGTGTTCTTTCAGAGCACACGTAAGGTGTGTGTGGTAAACAGGAGCTTGGCAGAGAGACACACTTCTCAAACTTTACCAGCAGGCTGAAGAAAGCTGCCAGCTCAATGTCTCTGTGGTGAGAATCTGAGCCCTCGGTATAAGGGCAATCTCTCCTGCCAGAACAAGCACTGGCCCTCGACAATTTAGGTCTAGAATTCTCCCCATGTGCTATCTGTGATCCAAATTTTAGCACCAGCTTCTTCTTCTTCTTCTTCTTCTTCTTCTTCTTCTTCTTCTTCTTCTTCTTCTTCTTCTTCTTCTTCTTCTTCTTCTTCTTCTTGTTTGTTTTTTGTTTTTTGAGACAGGGTTTCTCTGTGTAGCTTTGCGCCTCTCCTGGAACTCACTTGGTAGCCCAGGCTGGCCTCGAACTCACAGAGATCCGCCTGGCTCTGCCTCCCGAGTGCTGGGATTAAAGGCGTGCGCCACCACCGCCCGGCATGCACCAGCTTCTTTCCACTTCACCTGCTAAGGTCCAGATGCAAAGGAACTGGTGTCCAGGGGTGAGTGGCATTTGCCTGGAACTTGCTGTGTCCTGGGTTTTCCTCATTTATCAACACTGCTCGTAAACATTGCTAAACTTCCATTCTTCCTTTTAAATAGCGTGCCCTCAGCCCCACGGGCACTGGCAAACCATTTTACTTCCCGATGGATGACAGAGACGCCTTCATCTTTTTGGTCATTGTTGGGATGAGGCGCATGGGGTCGTCCACACACTTGGCCACACAGCTGTCCAGCTGCCGCTTCACCTGCAGCTCCTTATTTCCTGCGTCTATCGAGTCTTTGGCTTTGTCTTTGCAACGCATGGTGCACCGGGCCAGGCGGTACTGGAACCTTTCCAGCTCACTGGTCCCCAAGGCCTGAGCTTGAGCCAAAGGCGCATGGCAGCGCTCGAGGCATTGGTGCCCCGGCTGCATAGAGGCCTGGTTGTCCTCACAGCAGTTGGCGCTACGCCGGAACACGAGGCCCTGCATCTTCCGGATGGTCTCTCTCTCTACGCTTTTCACCATGGCGTCCACAGTCTGCTGCACTCGGAGTTGCTGCACCTCCGCCAAGGCGACCCTGAGCTGCGCCGCGCCAGCGCCTGCGTGCACTCGCTGCGCTCCCGCCAGTTACTAGTTCTTACCTCTGAAACCCTCAGTCTAAAGAGAGCTAAAGAGAGCGAGTTCCGCCGGGCGGTGGTGGCGCACGCTTTTAATCCCAGCACTCGGAAGGCAGAGCCAGGCGGATCTCTGTGAGTTCAAGGCCAGCCTGGGCTACAGAGCGAGTTCCAGGAAAGGAGCAAAGCTACACAGAGAAACCCTGTCTCGAAAAAGAGAGAGAGAGAGAGAGAGTGAGTACCTGTTTCCTTATGCTTTATATACCTTTCTCTGCCCTGCCTTCTTACCTCCTGAGATTAAAGACATGTGTGTTTCCTAAGCAAAGGCATGAGATCTTAAGTCCTGGGATTAAAGGTGTGTGCCACCACTGCCTGGCTCTGTTTCTCTCCTAGACTGGATCAATCTTACGTAGCCCAGTGTGGCCTTGAACTCACAGAGATCTGGATGGATCTCTGCCTCCCGAGTGATAGGATTAAGGATGTGTGCCACCACTGCCTGACCTATGTCTAATCTAGTGACTGGCTCTGTCCTCTGATCCTTAGGCAAGTTTATTAGGGTACACAATATATATTACCACACACACCTTTAATCCCTGCACTCAGGAGGCAGATGCAAGTGAATCTCCGAGTTCGAGGACAGCCAGGGCTACACAGAGAAAATCTATCTCAAAAAATTAAGAGAGAAAGAGAGAGAGAGAGAGAGAGAGAGAGAGAGAGAGAGAGAGAGAGAGAGAGACTGACTGAAAGAGAGAGGTTGCGAGAGGGATTGAGAGAGGGAGGGGGGAAACTTGCCACAAAACAATCTTTCTTGCCTACAGGTCAATTTGATGGATACGTCTTCCGAGAAGACTCTAGCTTGTCTCAAGTCAACAAAAAGCCAACCAGCAAAGTGACAGAGGACACTCCTGATGTCCTCCTCTGGCTTTGCAGATGTATGTAAGCATATCTATGCACACACATAAAATACATTTTAAAAAGCATAAAAAAAGAAAAAATTAATCTATAAGAGCACATAGATACTCCTTTCACCCCTTTGCTTTTTAAAAATTAATTAATGGTTGGTCAATTATAATTATTTTGTAATGCATTTTTCATTAGGAAAACTCAAAAAATATGGGTAGCAAAATGACTGCAATCATATAATTTTTTTGGTATATTTGTATATACTATAAAAAATTGTTTTGTTGTTTGGTTGCTTCTTGAGACAGGGTCCTATGGTACCCAGGTTGGCCTAGAACCCGCTTTGTAGCCAAGGTGGACTTGGAATTCTGCGTAATCCTCCAGATTACTGGTGCCTGCGAGGCAAAAAGGGAATTTTAGGTTTCCGGGCAGAGTTGGAGTATCCACACCGAAGTTCAAGACGCTTGTAGAACTGACACCGTCGGGCATGAAAGAAATGTCTCCTGCGCCTGCGCTTTGTCATCGAGTGGAAGGTGCAGGTTGCGATGGGTGTTCCGCAGGTCACATGACCTGCAGAAGCCGCTCCCCTCTCACCCGGGTCCTCTGTGGTCTTTATACCGCCCCACCCCCATTCATACTCCAGTAGCTAACAGATTTTCAAGTCCTCAGATTTCTCACTTGGGCGAATGAATAATACATCTAAGCAGGTATTGATGGCCACACACCTTATATCCCCCCTCCTCACCCACCCCTTCCCTGCCTTCTGCCTGGGCATCAGGAGATCTTGGCTGCAAGGTTGTGCGGTGAGACCACCATCTTCCTCAGGGACCTACAAGAAGGGACTCTCATTTCTGGCACTGGGACCCGAACTCTCTTGGGAGCCCCTACCTCGGAAGGTTGTCTATGTGTCGTTCACAGGCCTTAAGACACCCCTTTCATAAACTCCTAATCCCCAACAATCCTTTTTTTTTTTTTCAGAGCTGAGGACTGAACCCAGGGCCTTGCACTTGCTAGGCAAGCGCTCTACCACTGAGCTAAATCCCCAACCTAAAGGATGTTTTATTTACTTTTATTTCATTATTTATTTATCTATCTATCTATCTATCTATCATCTATCTATCATCTATCTATCTGGTTTTTTGAGGCAGGGTTTCTCTGTGTAGTTTTGGTGCCTGTCCTGGATCTCGCTTTGTAGCCCAGGCTGGCCTCGAACTCACAGAGATCCGCCTGCCTCTGCTCCAACAATCCTTCTAAGTGTCTCCCTTGAGCCCTTCATCTGGGACCTTTCACAGGAATGGTGAAGAAATACTGGGGACCAGGACTTCAAGGGGTCTCCCAGACCTTAGCCTAGTGGTCCTGGGAGGCACAGCCCCAGAGAGTGGGGGGCTGTCAATGACTGTGAGACTGGCGGGGACCTCTGGCCTTCCCAGGGGAGGACGACTCGGGACTTCATACCTTTGGGGCTAGAAGGAATATGAGAGTTTTCTCTCTGTCTCCGCAGATCCTAGCCCGGGGACCTCTGGATGGCCCTGCCCCAGCCTCCGGACAGGCACGGACTTGCCCTCAACCAAGTTGGCGCCGGCGGCTTCACGCGGGACCATGTGACCCTCCCAGACTCCGCCCCCGCCCTCTCCGGGAAGGCCCGGCTAAAAGCCCAGCCGCTGGGCGGTGGGCAGCCAGGCCAGCATGTCCCCAAAGCTGAGCGCGTGCTGGGTGGCGCTGGGTCCGCTGCTGTGCAGCTGGGCGCTGGCGCTGCAGGGCGGGATGCTCTTCCCCCAGGAGAGCCCGTCTCGGGAGCTCAAGGCGCTGGACGGACTGTGGCGCTTCCGCGCCGACTTCTCCGACAACCGGCTGCAGGGATTCGAACAGCAGTGGTACCGGCAGCCGCTGCGGGAGGTGCGCGCTCCCGGGGTGGGGTGGGGTGGGGGGGACCCCAGGTCTGGAAGTTTCTGGAAGCCAGGGGATGGGTGGAGGGGTGCCTGTACCTGGAGATCCCCTTCCCTTGCGCGGGTCTAGAAGAGGTTAATAGGGGTTTGCAAGCTGGGGTGGGGAGCGGCCGGAGCAGGAAGTGGGGGGACCTTGCATGCCCGAGAACCACTTGAACTCCAGGGCTTCTGCCAGGCGAGCGCTGCCCCAGGCAGCGGATTTTTTTTTTTTTTTAAACTTTTCATTTTATTTCAAAGTGCTGGGAGGTTGAACCCAGGACCCTATGAGTGCACGTCACTGATGAGCCTTTTGTTTTTGTTTTGAAACAGGGTTTCTCTGTGTAGTTTTGGAGCCTGTCCTGGATCTCGAGGCCCAGGCTGGCCTCGAACTTCACAGAGATCCGCCTGGCTCTGCCTCCCAAGTGCAGGGATTAAAGGCGTGCGCCACTACCCCCA